GGGGGTGCGGCGTTCTCGAAACGCCATACCCCCACTTCCCCCCCCACCGGGCAACCGAAGGGGGAACGGCGTTTTCAAAACGCTGTACCCCATCGCCCCTATATGTGAGCAGGGTCGAGGGGGTGCGGCGTTTCGAAAACGTCGTACCCCCTACGCTTCTCCGTGGGGGGTGGGAGCGGGGGTAAGACGTTCTCGAAATGTCGTGCCCCCTCTGCCCTGTATGTGAATAGGGTCCAGGGGGTTCGGCGTTTCGGAAACGTCATACCCCCTCCGGTTCTCGGTGGGGGTGGGAGCGGGGGTACGGCGGTCTCGAAATGCCGTGCCCCCTCCTGTTCTCGGAGAGGATAGGGAGGTGGGCCACATGGCGTTCCCAGAATGCCGTAGCCCGGCCCCATAGGTGGACAGGGCCGACGGGTGCGGCGCTTCGAGATCGCTGTATCACCGCCCCCTCTCGTCTCCGATGACCGGACGAGGTGTGGCGTTTTCGAAACGTCGTGCCCCCCTCGGCCTTGCTTCGCGGAACTGGACGGGGTAGGGCGTTTTCAGAACGCCCTATACCATGCGACGCTCGAATGCGTCGGCGACTCACGTGAGGCGATGGTGGAAGGTTTGAAATCTGAATGTGATCCGTTCCTTCGTTTGGAATGTGCCTGCCATCAGGAGGAGCATCTGCTGTCCCAGAAAAGAGAGTCTACAACACGTGCACAATCTATAGAGATAAGGAGTGGGCCCTTGATTGGGGGGGGGGGCTACATGAGGCGGGATGTGGGGCCGTTGTGTTTTTGAAGAACGCCTCGGGTGACGACTGGTTCTGTGTTGGAGGGATTATTAAATCCGAGGATGAGAGGGTGGACGGGCACGAACGGAAGTTCAGGAGGTTTTTCCTCACAACGGTGTTTGACGAACAAGGAGTGGACCATGCGAAGGCCGACCGTAAAGTAAACCTTGATTACAATATGTTCAAGGGGTATGGCGGTAAGGCTATTACCATGAAAGCCTTCGATGTGTCCCGAAAGAAGATGGGAGTGTGTTGACGATGCTTGGCCCCGTTAAATTCCTCGCCAAAACGAACGGCTACAGGAGATCCGGAAACAGTCCCACGGTTGAGGCCGGCCATCGTATGTCCCCGACATTCGTGCCTTTTGACACGCCGGACGAGGATCTTCCCGGTATAGCAATGACAAAGAGACAGAGGACGCCACATAGTTTTCCTACGCAGTAGACGTCAGCGAGTGGGGGCCGGCGCCGCAACAAACAGAGCCAGCCGCGTTGTCCACCAGGCGAGGATGAGCATGATCCTCCTGTGGGTTCGTCCCGCCGGATGGAGTGTGTTGGACCGTCTCAACCGTTCAGCCGGCAAGACCAAGGCACCCCTCTCATCACATACAAAAGGAAGGCCCTGCCAACTCGTCCCTCTCCCAGTTGCCAGAAGGACGAAGGTGGTGCGTCCAGGAAGGCGGCGCTGCGGGAGATAAGCGAAGGATCGGACGAGGAAACGGAGGACGATTCTAGGGTATGTGTTGATCGACATCCACAGGGTAATCATGTCGTCGACGATGACGAATGTGGTGTCGATGAGGACGACGTCGAAGAGGAGAACAACGAGAGGGGGAGAGAGAGAGAGGATCGTGAGGAAACTATGCACGACTGCGAGGGTGGGGAGTCTCAACAATACTATGAGGAGGACGACGGGGGCGATGGAGAAAACGATCATGCCTATCCTATAGGTGATGACGATGGACGGCAAGAGCAGTCGACTAATGTGGGGGTCGACGACTCAACAGGAGAGCAGTCGGAGGTCAGTGTCCAGAAAAGGAAGCGACAATCTTAAACAAGTCCAACGGCGGCGGCGGATAAGCGCGCTGCGAAGAAACTCACTGTCGCTGCATCTCGACAGGCGCTCAAAGCTTCTCAAGAGGTGGTCGCTGAAAGCGTGAAGAGACGAAAAGGGTCCGCGTCGACAAGGGCGACAAAAGCGGAGAAACGTCCACCGAAAAGAAAGCAGATGGTGGATGAGGGTGACTCTGGAGAGGATGCCGAAGGGGTTCCTCCAAGAGATATGTCGGAACACACACAACCTTCCGCCGACACCCGTGATGAAGCCATTGACACAACACGGTGCTTCTTCTTGGAGTTCGATGAAGATGGGTTTGCAAAGAAGAAAAGGGAACACATTGAAGTGGACGTCACGAAGATCTTGCCAATCCCTGAAGGTGACATCCTCTTCAACCATAGAACGTTGGACGAAACGTTGGTGCAGTCCATATATGATGCGATCCATCATGCGGCCAGGGAAACCAACAGGAAGTGGGATTTCATGACTTTCATCCTAGCTCCCATTGTGCCCAACAGGGACGGGTCTCAAGGCAGACGGATCACACCGGAGCAATTCAACGTCGAACTGCCTCATACATACAACTGGTATGCTGTTGTTGGCCAGCACACGGTTGAGGCAATGAACAAACTCATTAAAGACAAGTCACCGGCCGAGAAAGTGTATGGCTTGAGGTCATACTCTCACGTACGTGTTGTCTACTTTGACGATGACAGAAAGAGAGGATATCCGTACGTCTCGACGTTCGACAACATGAGGGAGAAGCGTTCGATCCCAAGATCGTTTTCGTCATCTGTGCGCCAAATCAGAACATTTTGGGATAAGAGGAATGGCCGGATCCGTCCACCAGGGACCGTGTCCCCGAATGACGTCGATGGAATGAAACGGAAAAAAAAATGGGAAGAGTTTATGAACGCCGCCTGCAAAATGACACCTGATTCCGGTCTCATGAACTCGTCCCTGGAGAACGACTACTGCAAGGACTGGACGAACAAGATGCGGGGATACATGAATCTTGCGCAATGCGGCGAAACAGTATGACCACTAGTAGAGAAATTCTTCGACATGTACGAGAAGGGGCTATTGCCGCGAGTCAACGGTGTGAGATACATCGACCTGCCGGGGAAAGTGGAAGGGAGACTGCCTGGGCAATACTTCCTTAAGGACAACTCCGGCAAAAAAGTCATGTTCCACTGCATCAAGGCCAAGAAGGGGCCATCAGGCGCAACGGTGTCTATACCTGACTTGACGCCGACAATCTTCAAGTTGTTCGGCGATATGACAGCGAGAGAGAAGCAAGTGGCATTTCACCACATGATGCGTGGTGATGTCATCGTGACATCACGTTCGGTACTTCGTGGTAGGTGCAACATGGCGGACCTGGTTAAATATACTCGGCGTGAAAGATATATGGGCCGTATGTTCAACTACATATTGTTCAAGGCCGAGGGGAGGTCAAAAGAAGAGTGGAGCGCTGAGTTTTTCATCGGTTATATGACCATCTTGGAGAGGTACAACAAAAACGGCCTGACGGACGAGAAATGGACCGAGGAACGCGACCGCATCCCTGACGACAAGGCGAGGAGGGTGCCGAGGCGTTTGGGCGGTCCTGATGAGATTAATGGTGAGAACGGTGCGGGACTGGAGGCAACCCAAGGCATGTACAAGGAAACCCCGTTCCACCTCAAGTGTTTCATCTACGAGGCAATCGACTGCTTGGACGACCTGAGAGCGGAGGTTAATCGGATATCCTCCAGTGCTTGTCACATATTTTGGGAAGTGGGGAAGAGGATTACCACGATCCTGCCATTTGAAATCGAACCGAAGGGAGTGCTCACCGACAACGAGAAGGTTGTTGGTACGGCGAGGGGGATGAAGATACGGGCAACCATTCTTGATATGTCAACATCATCGAAATGTGTTCCGTGGGATGATGACGCCTTTTCCAAACTGTACGTTTTCCTCATGAGATGCTGTGGCGAAAACTGGGCCTTGATCATTTTCGCGCCGATGAAACACCACAAACAGGTGATGCAGAGTGTGTACAATTGGGATGATGTTGAGGTGCTCACAGGGTCATGGTACAGACACTATACACCTTCGACAACCTTGAACAAGTACGGCAACATTGCAGTTCGGTACACTGACATGATGGCTATTGTCCTCCACGCCGAGAACGACAATTTGGACAATATAACGGTTGCACCGAAATTGCGAGCCGAGTTGACAAATTTGAACGTTGAAGAGGGTGAATTTGTGAGGTGCTCAGGGGAGTGTATCGGCGTGGAGGGCGACACCGACGCGGTTTATTCTTGGATGGAACGAGAGTCATCACGTCTCCGAAAACTGTGCAGCTCGTTCATCAGGAAGGACGCTGGCATGATGCTGTTGGGCAGGGCGCATGCGGGACTGATTTGGGAACTCGCTCGCGCCGGACACCACGTGTTTGCGTGTGACGACATGACAAAAGAGCTCACATACCTTTCCAAGTTTTTTGAGTTTTATGTGAAGGATACGAGGAACAAATGCAGGTTCGAAAAGCCCCAAGTCGAGCACCGCAAGGACCGGGACATTTACTATAAGCTCGACAGAAAGAGGGAGAAAGTGTGGGCTTACTTGTTCGGTGACGCTCCACGGTCGGCGGTTGATAACAAATACGTCATCAGGAAAAGTGAACTCGAGATAGCAATGAACGAGTACCGCGGATCGCACATGGGTGTTTTCCACATGTTCGTCGCACGTTGTGAGCATCTATATTTCAATATGAAGAAAATAGCACTGTCATGCAGGGACTATGCGGACTTGGCACGTAAAGCGGGGAACTTCAACAACATCGATTGTGATGAAGACACGTCAGACTCCGACCTGGCCGTTCCGTCGCGCGCGACACGACGTTCGGCGCAGGGAGCACGTGCCGAGGAGCCACAAGGGAGCACCAACGCAGAAGCGGAGAAGGCGAGGTCGAGTTTGGGAGCGACACATGCTAGTGATGGAGACGTGGAACATAAAATGAATGCAAGGGGAGAAAAGAATGGTGTACCAATGAACCCGGTGGGTGCGAGTGAGGGAATTGTTAACTCATGGGGCAACACAGGGGGAGGAGAGAATGGGTGTGAAATGACCCCGCCGACAGCTGGACCATCATCGACACATGCACCGCAGGCCGAGCAGCAAATGCTCATGTCGATGGACACAGATGAAGATGAAGACATGGATATTATAGCAGTCATGCCGAAGCTCGTGCCAGGAAAACCGTTACCTCAAGGCTTTGCTCAAGACCCTTCAGTGCCATACTTGCTGAACACAAGTACAAGGAGTCATCGGAGGAGGACTGGGGTCATCATATTCTCTGGCATGAGGGCGTGTTCGAACCGTGCGTGTTTGCGGGCAAGTGACAAATGGCTGTGAAGACAAGAGACCGCGGGTGGGTCGCGAAGGAAAGAAAGGACGCTGCGATATGGCACAGCGTGACGGAGATGCAACTTTTTCGGCGGGTTGCACAAGAAAATGTCGGTGCAATCGAGGTCGTTGTAGCGGCAAAGGCGAAAGCTTTGTTTGAGCAACTGCTTGCGAACAAACAACTAGAATTCAGCACAAAGTTCTACAACCTTGCATCAAGTGTGTCGTACGGCTCCATCGATTGAAAAATCAAACAAGCGTCAGCAGTGCAAGGAATCGATAGCATCACCTCTCTGAAGACTCAAGACGTCATCGCGTCTAACACCATCGTTGCGATGGCCAGAGGGGATGCAGGCTGCGAAACGGACATACGTGCGAACGCTGGTCACATACAGAATGAACAGTTGCGAGCATGTATTCAACAAAGCACACAGAGAAGCGCAATGGGGGATTCCACTATGATACGCAAGGACGGCTACGACATGGAGTCGGGCACATTGACAGAGCCGCCAACGCGCGGGGTCAACGATGGGGCAACAATCATTGGATCTTTCGGGTCTCTTGTCGCGACAGTGGCGGCGAGGCAAGGCGTATTTGAAATGATGGAGACCGTTGCGGGCCAGGATGTTGAAAGCCAGACCGTGAAGGTGGCGCCAGAGCAGGTGGCGGCAACAACAGACGAGACGAAGAAAGGTGAGGGATCTCGCGAACACATTTCCGTAATTGATATGAGATCGGAGAGTACGGGCGAGGATATGATCCAAGATAACGACCAGAAAGATGACCATGCTGCACCACGAGTGGAAGGTGACGACGAAGAGGACGCGCAACGACCGAGACGGTCAACGAGAGCAGTAATTAAGAAAACTGTGTTTGATGCGTAGGAAAGCCTTAGACGGGCATGAACGTTTACACGTTTCAGGTTATATTGATGTGTCGCCACAAATCATGATGCGATATTCACCGGTCCTCACATGGAGTGTCTACGCATTTCTTGTTAAATTGATAGGTTGCCGCTGGGTACTATGTTAAAAAACTATGTTAGACAGGAATGGGTGTAAACGCGTTTTGGGTTATATTGTTGTCTTAATGGAGGTGTTATTATGACACTGCAATTCTCGAAACTGTAGTGTCGATAATAGAGGGTGCCCCATCTCGATACGTATGTGTGTGTGTGTGTGTGTGTGTGTGTGTGTGTGTGTGTGTGTGTGTGTGTGTGTGAGTGTGTGTGCATCTGTGTGAGTAGACAAAGGTCGACTCGTCACCAGCGTTAGGTTCTGTGTGTGGATTAAATTGTATGTGCGAGCTTGGTACGGTTTTATAATAAAGGCATATGAAAACACACTATATGGGGCACTTTGCCTGTCATGTGTCAAGGACACCTCTAATCTCAGAGAACTTGTTATGCCATCTTCTAGCGCGCTGCGAATGGTCGTCTTAACCTAAATCCCCACGAACTTAAAAACAGAAAATCATACTAACAAAATGAAAAAAAAAAAAAAACACGAAAATATGTGAAACAGCAAGGCTGGAATAGTGAACTTATATTCTAAATACTGCCCAGAGTACTGAAAATGAACATCAGAGAACTGATGGAAGCAGGGTTACCGTTAACCACCATAGATCGTGAAAAGTATCATTGATCAATTTACTTTCAAAAAGTACACGAAAATTGGGCAAGAATTGTAGTTGTGTTATGCGCCATATTACGAGGAAGATGGAGGTCGGGGTGTTCATGTCAACTCGCTATAGTATCCTGTTGCCAAGATTTAGCAATTGAAATTTCTCCGCCGTTTCGAGCATGCAAATATGGCAGGCCCCGATCACGATAGCTTACGCTGCGGCATAATGCATTGTCATGTGCAGAAAGGAGGAACATAGAAAAAGTATGAAGATGCAAACAGGGATGGACGATCCACTTAGCAACGGATAAGTTATCGGAGAAGGAGACGGCTGCGGTGCAACATTTACGAGATTCAGTGCAAGCGGAGAATCGGACGGTCTGGACATCCACGTACAACGGGCCAACAAAAGAAGAACTAACACTAACCGGGCATGATTTTGAGCTTGATACTGTATCAAGGCAATTGGTTAAACAACGAAATAGTTAACTTTTATTTGAACCTCGTAAGGCTTGACAACATGTGTCGCATAAGCCATTGCGAGTGTGATAGTGGACAAGACGGAACAGTAGTAGAAGGAAAAGGGCGCATCCCGATAACAACAATTTTTAGTTCCTTCTTCTTTGCGAAATTGTTCGACGACGACATGCAATACCAATACAGCGCAGTGCAGAAGTGGATGACAGATATCGATGTGAGTGACGTGAACTTAAGAATAGCTTCATTCCATGTTCGGAATTCCAACCATTGGACTCTAGTAATAGCAGACCTACGGCGCCAAAAAATGGAGACGACTCGCTTACACCTGGCAAAGAATTGGCAAGGAAAGTGAGAGGTGGTTTCGCAAGATTCTTGTTCGAAAGATCGGTTGAACAGGGAAAGGTGGTGGATACAAAAGATTTCAACGACATATGGAATGTGCCGGGCATTTCAAGACAGCGCGGCATTAACGAATACGGTGTCTTTATGCTAACATATGCGTCACTGTTGGCAAGAGGATTTCTCCCGCCATTCAACTTCTCTTTCGACGACATCTACAATATAAGGGGACGGATCGCTTTAGATGTACTTGTCACACTGAAATAGGAGTTACTTGTGCAACAAATGACATTTGATAGACGACATTATGAAAGCAAAACATTTGTTTATTTTTTTGCAAATGTAAAGAGATCATTGGCGCAAAAAACACTGCATAAAATACATACACACATCGGAAAAAAATGGACTTTCAATTTCGCGCAAAAAATAAAAAATGAACGTTTTGACGAAATCGCAGTTTGGTTGACTTCACTCACACCATGTGTGTGTGTGTGTGTGTGTGATCATATTCGCTATTCACCACTCCGCCGTGTAAAGCATGGCACCACCAGACTGTTTTGTCAGACTTTCACCGACTCATCAGGAGGTTGAACCCCGACAGTCCGCGGAGAGGCGCCCACTCTCTCTGTGTTCCGGAGTCGGATAAACCAATGCTTAACCAGGAGGGAATCCAAACGTGCAACCTTGAAAAAAAGGCAAAAAAAAAAGCAAGAGTTTGTGCATGACATGGATCAGCGAAGCACAAAGGCAGTGCCCCAACCAGCAGGGAAACCGCACTCGCAATCGCAACCATTGAAAATAAGAAACAAAAAATAAAAAATAAAAAAGAACAGGCAAGAGTTTGCGCATGACGTGGATCAGCCAAGCACGCCCCCTCCGCTTCCCACAAACACACCTCCCAGCGCAGCTGTACCCTTGACCCCTACTCCAACCCAGCCCCTCTCGGACAAGCTGCAGGACAACGACTGGATCAGCCTCTCCAGCCAAAGGGTGGACCAACGACGAGTAAGGCCTGGCCAAGCAATCACAAGAACGATCTGCTGATTTGCAGAAGTAATAGACAGGAAGTGGATCTGGGTGGTCAATCGGTCTACGGTACAAGGGCGCTCACACACCCAGTGACATACAAGGCAGATTCAGATGTGCTGCAATTGCCTTGGCTCACTGTACTGCTCTCCGTCGCAGCGGGCTTTAAGGATCAATAATGTGGCATGCATGGGTTTTGAGAGGGTATCAGGTTTAAAGGGTTTTACAGGGTCAGACGTTGTAATAATGATCAGGGGGCTGCTGAGTAGGACTTTGCAAATAAGATAAGGGGCGCTCCAAGATGGGATGGGTATTACTGGCAGCTCCATGGGATAACGGAGCCCCAGAATGACAACTGAAATGACCACAGCCCTGGGAACAACGATTGAAAGTCTCTTGGCAAGATGTATCAATGGGACGCTGGACCCGGATTCCAGCAGGTGCCGCTCCCCACCAATAGATGGAGCAGCCCGGCAGATAAGCCCTCAATTTCGACGGTTCTCTTACCACCGCCGGGATAGAGAGCTTACACAAGGGCTATTCTTTCAAAAAAAAAAAAAAAGAAGACAAGTGTTGTAGCTGTGGACAGTGGAGCCAATCCCACTTAGCGCTTCGCAGATCCTTGCCATGCACGGGGGCAGCAACACCGATTCCATTTGCATGCCATGTAGCACGATGATGGGAGGGAATGAAACAACGCGAAAGTCGGTTGCATGTCACGTATGAGGAAGGCGATAGGGAACGATAGAGGGAGGACGGAGGTGAATGGGTAGGCACGCGACGAAAATAAAATCAACGCGCTGGACCAAAAAAAAAGAAAAAAAACTAATGTTCGTACTACTTTCCAAAGTCGAGGCCTCCGTCAAATCCAAAACGAAGTGCCACTGGGACCAAACAGACGTTTCCCACGACCGGTACCTTTGCGTTTTAGGGTCAGCAAATTTTGGTGCGCAGGGGGCTCTTCGCTTCGCCAAAACAGGGTCGGGTGTACTGGTGGTTTAAACCATTCACTGTGGTTAGAAAACAAATCTTTGAAATTTTTCCGCTTTTTTAAGAAATCTGAAATTGACTGCACCACCCCATTATTCTTCAGAATCTGAGAATTTAACCGTTAGTAACCCTTACCCCTCTTGATATTTCTATCTGGGATAAACGTTGCCACCACCGTTCTGTGATCCGATAGCGAGTCAAATGGCATCCCAACCTCCATGACCAGTCTACCGCCTCTTCCCTGAGGAGGAAAAAGTCCAGCCTGAGTTTGGTATGTATGCCATTTGCTCTTGGATTGAGGGCCACCCATGTGTATTTCCTGTCTGTGGGGTTCAGTAGTTTGACAAACTTTACATGGATCAACAAGGTCTTGACTCTCCACAAACTTGATGAGTGCCCTCGAGTCACTCCTCAAAGAATCATTTGCAGATCAGTCTAAGTTTGGGTCCATTATAGTATTCCAATCTCTGCCAAGTACCAGGTTGCCGGAACCAGGCAACATGTGAGGTAGAATGCAAAAAACTGCGTCTTAACCCCGGTGATCCACTGGTGCATAGATCGACATGATGGACCATTCAGTCCCTTCCAGCACCCGTGTGACCCATGCCCACCTCCCTAGGGTGTCTGCATAATCATCCACCATCGTGAACTGCAGACTTTTCCCTAGCAGTATGGCAGTTCCCCCTTTCGAACCGTCCGCTGGCGCCCAGAATTGTGGGCCCTGCCACTGCCAGCGGTTCTCCTCCATCTTATCCTCACTCAGTTTTGTATGTTGGAGTAGAAAAATGTCTTTCCTGTGATGAGGTATCCAACTTTTTAACCGGGCCCACTCTCTGGACCCCCCCCATCACCCAGACCCCTCACATTCCATGTGTCTATCTTTAACTTATTCATTTAGCTTATTGCCCCCTCAGAGGGGGGTCCAGCGAGTGGGCCTGGGTGATGAGGGGGGACTGGGTGAGGGGGGTGCCAGGGCAATAAGCTAAATGAATAATTTAAATCTGGACCCACTCTCTGGATCCTTAAAGCCCCCTCCAGATATCTCACTTATCCAAGAAGCAGCCTGCTTGGTAAGTGAGGGCCCACTCTCTGGACCCCCTGGATAAGTGAGGGCCCACTCTCTGGACCCCCTCAGGGGGGGGTCCAGAGAGCAGGCAGCTTCTTGGATAAGTGAGATATCTGGAGGGGGGAAGAGTGAGATCTTCCCCTCCCCACCCACTGACACCGTTGCAGGCCCCCGCCCCAATGCCTGAGTGGTTTCCATCTGTATGCGGTTGTCCTCAGAACCAAGCCCATTTTGCAGGCTTGATTTCCGTCTACGGTTCCCTGATAGTCCCTCTCCCTCAGTCCGGGTGTGCCAAAGGGAAAAGAAGGCATGCCTGATAAGTGGTTGGAGAAGACGCTGGAATTCAGCTGTAGCTGTTGATTGTACTTCACAATGACATCGCCGGAAATTGCCTCTGCTGCGTACAACATTTTGGAGTGGATAATTGTCTCATCTTTGGCCCGTCTGACGGAACCCAATGGCATCCCACCATCTCCATAAGCGCACCACCATTGGGCAATCTAGGAGGCAATGTTCCAGTGTTGCTCTCTTTCTGGGCACGCACGTTTCACAGAATGAACACAACGGGGAGAGTATGCCTTTGGACTCGTAGTCCGTTCTGTCCGTTAGCCAGCCCGGGGTAGGCAGGCATCGATGGATGATCTTATCACTTCCTTACGGGACATCATCTTCCCTGGAATGTCCTATCCCTTCTCTTTGGGCAGGACCACCAGGATCTTTCACACTGGTCGCCCTTTGCACTCAACATACATCAATACATGAGACTTCCGCTTCTGATGGTGGCCTAGCGGATGAGGTCCTCTCACGAAAGGAACCAAC